TCACCACTCGCTGTGCCCCCGCCGGGTTCGTCATGGGACCTAGAATGTTGAACAACGTCCGAACGCCAAGCGCCTTGCGCACGGGGGCCACGTTCTTCATTGCTGGGTAGTGGTTTGGTGCGAACATGAAGGCCACGTTGCAGTCGTTACAACACTCGGCCACTTGCTCCGGAGTGAGGTCCACACTAATGCCAAGAGCCTCCAGTACGTCTGCAGAGCCGCACAACGAGGATACCGAGCGGTTGCCGAACTTGCAAACCTTTGCTCCTGCTGCAGCAGCCAGGATGACGGACGCCGTGGAGACGTTGATGGTATGGGCGCCGTCACCGCCGGTACCCACGATATCTAATAAATCTCCTTCCACATGCACGGGTACGGCTACGCTCTTCATTCCGCGAACGCATCCCGCAATCTCGGTCGCGGTCTCTCCCTTCATGCGCAACAGGCACAGAAGAGCTGCCACCTGCTCCGCCTTCGCACCTTCCATGATACTAACTAACGCATTCTCCGAATCAGCGGCTGAGAGCTCGTGACCGTCGATGAGCTTTTCTAGATACGGCTTCAGGGAAGATCCCAAGCCCAGGGAACATGGTCTACATGTAGACACCGGGGATCGGACTGGACCGGCACGTTGCACCGACGCGGCAGGTCGGGAAACAGGTAGAGGGCAGGTTTTTAGATGCAAGAGCTGCAGCGTTAGGAATACGGTATTCAAACAGCAGGACAATTGCTTTGTAGACTGTGAACGCTGACGGGGTTGGCTACACTACGTCTTTTGTGTAAACCAATGTAACCTACTGTTGTGGTCTTCGAACAAGAACAAGCTACTGTACACTGCCGCGTATATGCATCTGTATGTATGTAGCATTGACACCTACAGCTGTTGTGTCGACCATGCAAAGCTGCCCTGTACAACTCGCACCTGCTCCAAAATTAGGGACGAACGCTCTTGCTACCGCTACAAGGTACAGCAGAACTGCGGCAAAACGCATGCTACCGCGGGCCGAATCCATCGGACCGGTTGTAGCGAGGCCAAGGATGAGGTTGTGGTGGGCCTGGGGCTGTGGCAACTGTAGTTGGGGGCGCTGCGGATGCGACGAGGCAACAAGGGGGGGCAACAGGTACCGTGTGGCACCACACAGAGCAGAATGCCACATCTCCGCCTGCCGCCTCCTACCTCCACACCACACGCCATCGGTAGGTTATGGCGGGGGATGGCAATTGCTCCAGAGAGGATGCCATCCCTTCCGGTGGAGACTCACAGGGAAATGGTATAGCAGATTCTCCTGCAGGAAGTGCGCCAAAGCTAGAAGGTGCTTCGAATGCGAGCGGTGATGTACAAGTAGGTGGTAAGGGAGAACCGCCGACAGCTGCGCGGAAGGCTGGTCCAGGGGAGTTTGACCTCTTGAAAGTGATCGGGATGGGAGCATTCGGCAAAGTGCTGCAGGTGAGAGACAGGTATTGCAGCAGTGTACACCGTTGCAGTCCACCACGAAAGGTCCCAATGACCAATGTCCCGTACGGACACACATCAACACACGCACGCATTTTTCATTATTTTTCTCTTCATTTTTTTTTTATGTGGCGCAGCATTCAAGGGGTCAACCACTACTTGTACAAACGCAAGTCGTGCGCACTACCGCTGTGCGTGATATTTGTGTGCCGACGACACCCTACACAGCTTCCAGGCCACAATTTAAAAGGGGCAGTTGCGAAGATACATATGTGTTATCACAGCAGTTGAAAAATGGATGACGCGTTTCTCTTTGTAGTCCAACGCGTATGCCAGCACACCGCGTGACCCATGAATGAATGTATGCTCTTAGAAGATCATGGACCTTTTGAGTTATCCGGCCGGAGTGGGCTCCAAGAGTGTACAGCAAGTGTCATCAGGGCCTGTTTTAACGTTAAAAGTTGTACTTATTTTGAGCACCCGATTTCGATAGACCTATGTACAAGTAATTGGATTTATGGCCAAAGAGGGTTTGCGTCGTTTTAACGTAACCCTCCTATTTAGTGCGTAGTCCCTCCGCAAAAAAATATCATTGGTCGAGGGGCTAGAGTCCCTCCAAAGCACTCGGAGAAGTGAGCTCTTGGCTTCAGCGTGAAAAGTGTCCCCAAAACACGTGGGGACACCTTTCATGTTGAAGCCAAGTCAGGTACAGCAGTTTTACCACCTACGGGATACTCGGCTTGGTTGTGTCCATACCATATCACACAGCGTGCTACAGTACTACCTCACCTAAGCACGATAAGACCAAGGGTTCTCAAGCCTAGGGCGACTACGTTGCGGTAAACAGACTTTTGAGTGCTGTGCCCCCAAAACGTTCCCATTTGGGCGTCCAGCACTAACAGGGTTACCGTAATTTTGCCATACCCAAATTCCAATCGAGGTCCAGCGTTCAGCAACACCCAAATGCGGTAGAATCGCTGCCGCGAGGTGACGTGGTGACCAAATATAATAGGTACATCCAGAGCGATAGACCGTGAGCTCCACACGGGAGCTGTAAAATGTTTATTAGCACACACACGAAGCCAAGCACCACTAGGTGATACCAGAGGTCCAAGTGTCATCCTCAGACTTGCTCTACAACTTTCGTTTGGACTGTCTCGCTGCATACAACCGGCCGTTGGCTTTCGACATCGCACATTTTGGGCAGCAACCTCCACACCAACCTATCCAGCGCGAAAATTTGACACGCTTACAGCAGTATCATTGCAATACAGCTATTTCCAGCTGGCAGTGAACTATGCGTGTGGGTACCGCACGGCCAGTGTGCCACATGCGGTCCAGTCAGGGGTAGCGCCAACATGAGGCCAGCTACAGGCATTATTGGACCGGCGTTATATGGGGACCACGACTGTACTTCCTTGCATACGGATGACAGCTGCGATTGGCTTCATTTCTTTTCTGGTACTTTAAGTTCGAGAGACAGTCATGAGCACCGTGTAATGTAACTGCCTCGAGGTTGCTCTACCAATTTAACACAACGTGGTGCGATCATCTCCTTGCCGCGGAGTGAGGGTTCTCGACCCCGCACAACATAATCTACTCGACCACCATTGTGTTTTCTGCGAGAAACAAAACAAAGACAAACAAACAAAAGCGGTACTGTAACCTGGTTGTCGAGCTCACGAAGCGATCGGCGTGTTTACAATTTCGTTGCCAAGCGACGAAACCCAACTCCGATGGCTCTCGGGGGGGAGGGGGGCGGGGTATTGCCTGCATCCCCGTGCCCCCTGTCCGCATCCACCAGACAAAATCCAAACATACTCATTCCCGGACAACGGCATGTGTGGCCTGAGGTCAAGTGCTGGCCGATCTTGCGCCATCAGCCATGCGCGCATGAAAAGGCGACGAACACAATCGATAACACGACTGTACCACAGTAGGGAAACGGACCTGTGGCGTCAAATATTGTTGACACAGAAACCGACGGCCGTGACAACCCAAGCGCATTGCTGAAATGCAGAAGATCGGGCATACGCATATCACGATGTTGAATCAGTACCGTGGTTAGACAAAAGCAGCATATCGCCATGCAATCATACATGACGGCATGGATGGTTGTTGCAAAAGGTTATACATGTAGATCCCGAACTCTCAACACTTGCCGCCGAAGCTACGGGGTGAAAATACTGTTGGAGCTTAGTTTTGTACAGGTAAGGCAATATAAAGAACATCAGGGCGATTCCATGTGTGCTAGTCCGAGGATACCTGCCTCAATGAAAGTGCAACACACAAATACATGTTACAACCCTGCGTGCACCCTGAGCGTTTGCTTGTTGACGCAACTTTTCGCATTTGCAGGTGCGAAGCCGGAGGAATGGGCAAATTCTCGCTATGAAGTGCATATCGAAGAAGATGCTTGCCAGACGCAACCACACGACTTATATGCAAGCTGAGCGAGACATCATGACGAAGGTAGATCGGCTTGCGACGTTTTCCGGTATCACGCGTTGCCACGCGTCGTTCATACGCTTTCGTGGGCCTCGTTGCATGTACAAATACAGGAATTCCTGTTGAATGCTACCCCTTACTGCCCGTTGTTGCATGATGTTGTTCGACAGGTGGTACACCCGTTTGTGGTTGCGTTGCAGTGCGCCTTTCAGACGGAACATAAACTCTTTTTGGTTATGGAGTACCTCCCTGGCGGTGAACTTTTCTTCCACCTCAGCAAAAAGGGATTATTTCTAGAGGACTACGCTAAGTTTTACGCGGCGGAGATGGTGCTAGCCCTGGAGTTCTTGCATGGGAAAGGAATCATCCACAGGTACTTTGATAACTGTGTTGTACAGCAGTATACAGGATGAGGGCAACCGAGCTGTTATGCGAGGGGACCGTTTGAGAAATCAAGCCGTTTTTGATTCGATTGTTCAAGGCAGCTTACTGCAAGGCATCAAAGTAAGCTGGAGCCTTTGGTGCAGGGTAGGTACACATATGTCCCGTTTTGCATTTTTGTAGCGCTTGGCACGGTATCCAGCCACTACCGTGATGCGCAAGTTTTATACGGTAGCTGGCCACGACGGCAATGCACTTCATTTTTGGACCGTACACCGTATTTGTAAGGCTTAATGTTTGATTAGGTCACTACACCACCGTTTGTGTACGCACCTAGCACACCATCCGTTTCTTAACCAACGTGCCGGCAACTATAGAAGTAGAAAATCAGGTATGCTTGTCTCCAGATGGTTGCAGACATAATCTTGCGGCCTTGTCATTACGACCTAAATGCAGAGCTAGTACGCCTGCCTAGGTATGTATTGATCGGCCGAGCTGGGACGGGATGAGTGTCAGTAGGTGTGGCTCAAGCACCACTACACCGGCGGAAACATCGACGGCAGACAGAGCCACCTTACAGAGATCACCACTGGAATCCTAAATGGAATCCCCGTTTTCTGTTTAGCCCCCCCTCGGTTATGATTGTCATATTCGGGTGTGGGGTGTGGGATGCCATGTGCAACGAAGTGTCGCCAAATGGATATACGAGATATTCAATTATAAGAAAGTTTGAGAGAACGAGCACGACACGAAGAAATAGAGAAAGCTTCCATCACGGGGGTCGAACCGTGGACGTGGGGATTGAGAAATCAAACACAGCCCGCTGACCCACTGGGCTCACTGATGCAATACTGCGTTGTATTTTGTCGGGGTTCTGTACGGTCGATTGAATTTGTTTGTATTTGTGAATACACCAATGTAACGAGAAAGAGTTGACAGGGATGGGACAGGTAATACGCGTGGTACCGGTTTGGATGGTAACGTCAGTACCATTTTTCCCCGGTAGCACTGTTGGTGGTAACGGTAACTTGGGGTGTACCATGTTAGGGCGGCAAACGTAAAGACACGTTTACGTACCCGCGCTCAATCGCGAAAGCAAAAGACTGGCCTACTTGTTGAAAAATGTTCACCATCTGTTCACCGTTGTTTCACAGGAAAGTTGCTCCGTGTTCACTCTCTGACTTTGCTTCTCCTCACACCTCGCTCGTGTTCTTGTTCATTACTGGTAGAGACCTCAAGCCTGAGAACCTGCTGTTGGGAGCGGATGGACACATTTGCGTGACCGACTTCGGGCTGGCGAAGGTGGGCCCTTGCTTGGTATTTGGTTCCTCTTGATGAGCCATGTTCCAATTTATGCAGCAGGGTAGGAATGCCATCGTTTAGGAGAAGGGTTTCTGCACTGGGTGATGCTACATGCAGGAAACGACGCTTCTCCCCAGAATCTCGCAAGAGGTAACTACTCTATGCTAGCTCCGCTCAGGTCTTTGCACGGATGCTTTCCTACCACCAAAACAATCATCCAGGAGCTAACACACGATGAAGACGAGGGCTTGAAGACCATATGTGGGACGAACGAGTACATGGCTCCGGAGATGATCCTTCGCAAAGGCTACGGAAAGGCAGTCGACTGGTGGTCCATGGGGGCGTTGGTGTACGAGATGACAGCGGGATACCCCCCATTTCAGGGCAAAACACCGAAGGATCTCAATCGGAAGATTCTGAACGAGAGGGTTTCTCTCCCAAAGTGGCTTAGCCCGACTGCGCATCAGGTAAGCCATGTTAACATCTGTACGGTTACCCCCCCTTGTACCAAATTCGACCGAATGTTGGATTCTGTCGGAGCTAGTAGAGTAGCACATGCTCGGCAGACGTCCGTGCTAACGCAGCAGGCTGCTTGTTTCTGTGTTCTGTGTTTGGATGCACAATGCGTTTTTTGCACGGTTTGTCCAGGTACTGCGAGGATTCCTTGAACGGAATGTCAGCAGACGGCTCGGCGCTAAGAAGACGACAATGTTCGACATTGGAGGTGCCACCGCCGTGAAGCACCATCCTTTTTTCGAAGGAATCGATTGGGTAAAGCTTGTCGCGCTGCAGGTTGAGCCCCCTTTGAAACCAGAGTTGGTCAGCACCACTGATACCAGTAACTTTGCCACGGAGTTCATTGACATGGCCCTCCCCAGATCTCTTTCCCAGGAGTCTCTGTTGAGCCATGCAGGAAGCCTTGAACCACCTGGTTCGGAGGAGGTTGGAGGGATGTTTCGTGGGTTTTCTTTTGTGGCTGATAGCTTTATCGAGGAGGGTGACTGGCAACAAGGTCAAGGAAATGGCTTTAGCTTTGCTCAGGGGGGAGGCGATGGACCAAGTGCAGGGCCTCCGAAAAAGGTCAAGGGCAAGCGCATCAGAAAGAAAGGGAAAGCGAAAGCGATGCAGGCAGGGGCGTCGGCCAAGGCACCGGACGTGCCGACAGAGAGTGCTCGGAGCGAGCATGGAGACGAGGATAGGAGCTTGCCGCTCTGCGGCGCTGTTCGCGAACAGGATGTCCCCAAGCCTGTGTTCGTGCGGGAACCTGTGGGCGGAGTGGAGTCAAAGCCGTCTACTCTAGCAGCCTTGCTGAAAGCGCAACTGAAGGACAAACCACCGAACGCGGCCGTGAGCAAGAAGGAGCCTTCCCGGGCAAACGTGTGGGGTGTCAGCAGCCTCCCGGCACCTGCCCCAGTTCCGATACCGGCTGGCCCGCCCCAAGCAAAAGGCCGACCTTCGCCTGCACGAAGACTTCCGACACAAGATTCAAAGGGTCTGCCTGGGCACCATGCAGACGCGAGTGGAACTTTCGTGTGGAAACGGCCCGTTTAGAGAGTTGTAGAGCGGTGGTATGACCTGGTATGTACCTCTAGCAGTGAGTGTGGTGAGGTGTCCACTTCAAGAGCGGCGAACAAGATAGTTGCACCAGTCTGTGTTGATGGCGTTACGTGTGTTGTGTCGTTAGGTGTGTGAGAACGGGTGTCGCGTGAACCCCACTGGGTAGGTAGTCCGTAGATACGTGCCTAAACCTAATTCCAGGCGCCCGGAATATAGATGTGATGGGAAAAAAAACGGAAAGAGGATTGAAACGGGTTTACTGCTGTTGTGGAATAGAAGTATATGCACATGGCTCTTCCAGCGCCCTCTTTGTACACTGGTACGGTTTAATGTGATGTGCTGGAGTGATAACTCCAACACTATTAGAGGCAGTTCGCCGTGGCTCATCGGTTCTCGAAGTCCCTGTCGTGAATCAAAATACGCGAGCTCCTCAACCTTACCCAGGAATCTTCCTACGCATGTCGCTACTATGCTGTAGGTTTCTGTGAGTTTGCCCAATACAAAGACCCATACAAAGACCCACGGTCAGCACGTCACTTTTGTAACATCTTGCCGTGTGGAAATGATGTGGTAGGCTGTGTGTCCATGTCCGTACACAACCGCCGTGTTTGTCCTGGATTGATGTTCCCCAATTGCAAATTGGGGTTTCAGTCAGCGCTATCCCGCCAAAAACTCCTTGTGTCCCACAAACTGCTGTGCGCACAAAGCACCTCCCTGGGTCACTCACACGGATAGTCATCAGCACGCTGTTTGTACACCGACAGACTGCTGTCTGTCCTCTGTTCAACGTTCGATCGGTACATACAGCAGTCCAACAACATAAACAATGGGACGCAGCCGTGGTGCTACTACTTCGATACTCCGATATCTTCCAGGCACCTTCTGTGGGCACGTGGTCATTCGCTTAGCTCGTAGCGGTAGACAGCTGGTAGCTGGGGAGATGTCGGCGTCGGCAGAGAGGTAAGAGGTGGAGGTTGGACGGCGCCGATGTTTTGACGTGGCCACGGGACTGTCACTTTTGGTCCCCGGATTTGTGCGGTGGTGGGATCCCGTTCCCAGGCTCTCAGCTCCCAGCCATCCAGGACACTCAATACCGGAGAGTCACGTCAAAAGCGCAACCAACGGCCAGGAGCGCGACGTTTGGTAAATAGTGTACTGTAACTCGTTGCGATGGCCTTGAGAAGGCAGGTGCGGTTGAGGAAGGAGTACATCTATCGCAAATCCCTTCATGGCAAAGAGGCATCAATTTATGAGGACAAGCAGCGTGTGCGGGAGGCCTTGCAAAACGGAACCCCGCTCCCAACGGAGTTGCGCGCTGAAGAAGCGACACTTCGGCACGAGGTAAGATTACCCTCCTGTGTGACCCCGGCTGATACGCCAAATATATATACATGAACCCAAAGGTGTGCAGACTGGCACCAGGTACATGAAGATGGGACGAGCACACGCGCAATGCAGGCACAAACGTATTTTCCTCCCATGTACCCGCAGTTAGACTACCTACACTGTAAATGTTGCAGGTGCCATCATAGAGGATAGCACAGAGTCAACAGCAAGTCCCTGTGGTGCTGTGTGGTGTGCAAGATTTCTCATGGTCGTAACCCATTACTCTCGGAACATTCATTATCGATGGATAATTGTAATTGTCAACCTAAAAATGGTGATCATTGGTGACCTAAATAGATGTACAGGGAACGTTCAATTTTTTTCAATTTCGAACTTCATGAGACGGTTGAATTCACAACTTCAATTTTTTTTTAATTTGTTTGGAATTTGAATACAGATATGTATACAGTAGCGGCTACGGTTTAAGAGAACTTATTTAAGAGAAAGCGGATTTAAGAGAGAGGAATTGGCGTGTACCAATAACAATCGATTTAAGAGAAAATTCCTTTTGCAGCTGGGATTTTTCTCTTAAATCGAACAATGTGGAAACCACGTGGACACACACACCCACACAGCTGCAGACACCATGCCCTGCGTGGCGGGCAGTCGCTGCACGGCTGTCCCCGATCACACGCCAGGCCCGCCGGCGTTCACAAACCACCAATGTAGAGGAGTCTGCAGGCAGTACCTCCATGGCACCTGTGGTGTGGTGGACCCTCAGGGCACCTCCGAGATGCATCGCATCTGCCACAACTGCCTTTCCTCCCGTGAGCGCATGACTTCAGGCTGTAGAGGACAACGTGGAGGTAGCCGAAGCGATCGTTACAGAGATGGTAGAGGACCTCTGTGATGAGAATTTGGTGGGCATGGATCTTTCCTCTGACGACGAGGACGACGACCTGGTTGAGCTACGCCAATCGGGACAGTCGGCGGCGGCAGCGGCCCCGGCTCCGCCGCCGTACGCGAATGTAGCAAATCATTTTGGTGAACTTGAGGATACTGCCGAGAAGTGCCGCATGTCCGAAGTGTCTTTTCACCTCCGCAAGGCTAAGCTAGCGTGGATGAGTGCCTACGGTTCGAGGGAAACCAAGCAGACGTGCATGAGCGACTTCCTTTGACGGTTGCAGCGCAGATCGTGTTCAGGCTGACAGGTCGCCAGGGTAGCGTTGGTTTCTTGGGTTTGTGTTATTTGTACGGCGAGTGATGTTTTGATATTGTGAAGCTGTTTTTTGTTCGTTGACTCGTGTTTTTGTCGGGGGTTCAAATCGATGGGATGAGAGGTATGAGGGTGTTACATATGTTGAGGGTACGGTGGGAGGAAGGTGCAGTGTGTAAACGGGTGCGTCGTTCTTGAGTGCTGGTGCATTCGTCGCCTCGTGTTGTCCTTCTAGAAGAGGTGCAACTATGAAACCCAGCTATAAAACAACTCAACCAAAACCTTTTACGTGTCCACGTGCAAAAATGTGCATCGCATCACACGACGATGATTTATTTTTCCGAACGCAGATCCACCAAAAGCGTACAACGTACAGCAGTGCTTGGGTCCACGTGCTTGCCAACCAAGAGAATGAGCGGTGTTTGGAGGTAGCCCGACGTGGTAACGCTAGCTGCGCAAGTGACATGCATGATACGCTCTCTTTATGACCTATTTTGGCATTCGAGTGTAGTCAGTGCGCGAGAGCCCCTGTTTCACGACCTTCAGTTTTGTCTACGATATAAGAGAGAATTCTCTTAAAGTGAGATTCTGTTTAAGAAAATTCTCTCTTATATCGTAGCCAACACGATATAACAGAAAGCCGGATTTAAGAGAGTGAAATTGGCTTGTACCGACCCTCTCTTAAACCGTAGCCGCTACTGTACCGTAATATCCTCTGAGTTGTCCCCCCCCCGTGAATTGTCCCGCCACCCCCCAGTTCCCCCCCCCAATTTGGCCGAAAAGGGCACGAAAACGCTGAATTATCCCGGGGACATTTTTTTATTTTTTAACATCCCCCCCCCTACCGTCGAGATATCCCCGGGGACATCTTTTTCTGCGCATAAAAAGCGTGTCCCCGGGGGAGTTTTGCGCATAGAAAACGCGTCCCCGGGGGAGGAGTGTATGGAAATCGGTTGGTGTGTTTTGTTGAATGCCGTCGGAATAAGGTCCGAGGTTCACGGGCTCCGTCCGCGCGTTTAGCAATAATGTCGCATGATGGTGCAAGCATCGTTCTTCGAAATCGGTGCAACCGAACCAGAGTTCTTGTTGTTCGTAGATGGTGTTTACACCAGACATCGTGGAGTTGCTGAGGTTGTGTGTGTGAGGGGGTGGTGTGTGTGTGTGTTTTTTTTTTATTATTATTATTAGCATCGACCGCGCTAACCGACTGACCAATGAAAAGACGTCAGTCTTAGTGCGGTTGAGAACACGAAACACTTCTGCCATGAACTGGGACCCCGTGAGGGGGCAGCATGGGGAAGGCTAAACTATCCTTCGGATCATGTGTGTGTGTGTGTGTTTTCGGTAGATCTCCCCGGGGCAATTTGTCCCCAGGGTGTTTTTTTTTGTTTTGAAGACGTCCCCCCTACCGTAGAGATAACCCCGAGGATATCGTTGTGGGCAAAAAGATAGATGTCCCCCCGGGGACAATTCAGAGGATATTACGGTATGTAGCATATACTGCTGTACGGACATTAGAAGGTACTGAGTGGAGACCGGAACGACTTTTAATGTGAAGACAACAACAACAACACCTTTTATGCGTATGCGTACGACACATGACAACACACCCACAATGAGATGAGAAACCCAACCCGGTGCTAATATTGTTGGATCTCAAACAAGGAGCCGAAATAACTCCCGGGTTACGTAACATATCACACACCTGAAGTTAGGACGCATGTGAACACGGAGTCCATCAAGCTACTATCACCCCCGTGATGACACACAGCAGTCGTTCCCTGATGACATACAAGGTGGCCCAGCAGGGAACATGGGCAACACACCCTCTCAGTGCAGGGGAACAATCCCGTTCTTCAATGCAAACAAACGAACTTTTAGTCTCCCCCACCTTGTACCTTGTCGGCGACTCTCTTGTGCCAGACGGTAGTATCACTATATCACATCAAAGATTCCGCGAGCGTGCAGGAGAAATTTCTCTCGGGCCCTGAGAAGGCTCAATTTCGGCGCTCTCGGCGGCTCACACAGCCGCATTTCCATCTCTCAGGGATCTTTCGGGCGCTTCTTGATCATTCCGCTCCCTCTCTACGTATGTGTATGTACCCTATGGTACTCTATGCAATTTTTTTTCTTCTCGCTCTGCGTCTGCCTCGCTTGCTCGCGTCTGCCTCGGTCATTCGCGGTTCCGGTCGTCACTTTCCTCTACTCCCCATCCACGACGCATCGCATTCTGTGCAGTCCCCCCCCCCCCTCTCTCTGTCTGCTCTCACAAACCACTAGTCTGTCTCTCGGTGCTCCCATGTCGGGTTATCGGTACGTTGCTGCTGTAAAAATTCCGTATTATTGACGTGTTTGCGCAGAAAACACAATTTGCTCTTTTGATGCTGGTCAAATTAATTTAAATATTAAGTCTTTCTGCGCAGATAGAAGTGAACATTTTTGCGGACGCGGACACGCACATCTTCAAGAGGCATCGAATGTTGAATGTGCTGTGTACGTACGTACAGCAAGTGTATCGAGCCCAAAGAGCACATCGCCCGCCACAGAACATCAACCAGCACAGCGTAGATATAGCGGGAGAGATAGGTGCGGCAGGCGTACATCTAACCCGCCACAGTCAATGATCTCAAGCCTACCGAACTTCCCCGACACGGAGTGACCAGTCTCACCATGATGATACTGCAACCACGCAAGTTGCGTGCAAGCATGACGCAACAACCGCAAGACGACAGCAGAGGCGCAGTACGAAAAACCTGAACCGATCGTGGGCATCCGCGTCCTGTGAGAACGCACAGAAGTAGTAGACCCTCAAGCCCTCAGAGGTTTCTCTCGATCTGCTTGTCCAAGGGCGTGAGCCATGTGACCGTCAGCTCCCGGCCGTGTGATGACGGTTGGTGTGGATGTGCATGTATGTGTGTGTGCAGCAAGCTGCATGATCTCCACTCTGCCGATCTCTCATCGAGCAGCTGGTATGCTTGGACCCACGCAACAACACAACCCGCTATCTATCTATGCAGGAGCACATGGCGCATGGGTATAGAGCCACGACCGTTCAGTGTAGGTCGTATAGGCTCGGCTTCCGCTGTTTTCGATAGCTGACCTGCATGTATGTGTGGGGGGTACAGATGCTCGGGGTGTCCGTTCGAGGTGGTCGTTGTCTGTTCGCCACTTTTCAAATTTTGCTTGCAATTTTTTGTATCTGGCCATATTTAGCGACCAAATTTGGCAAAATTTGCTTCCGAGGAACTTTAAAGGCCCCGAACTGGTCGTTATGAGCCAAATTTTGTTCTGCGCGAACACGTCATTCGCTTTGTTGTCATTTCTTCTCCGCTCTCCCTCCATGTATGTATGTATGTATGTATGCAATATGTCTTCTCACACTGCGTCCCTCGCTCGCGGAACCTTTCGCCCATTTCCTCTGCTCTCCATCGATACACACATCACGTTGCATGCCAGTCTCTCTCTTCCCTCTTATACACCAACCTGTGTCTCGTCTCTCACATGTCGTATGCATATCCTTCATTTATTTCCATCTCTCATCTCATCCGGGATCTTTAGAGCTTTCTGATATTTTCGTTCATCGTTCCGCCTCGGTTCTCACATTCCGAATACTTCACTGGTGGTTCTGTCTCGCCTGCTCGTGGAAACCGGACGAACCGGGTAGCGGACGCCTCAATCGGTCTGGCGCGGTTAAAGGCTCAGACCGCTCTCGGCGGGCCCGCTCATCATTCACCTCCATCTCGAGCGGACACTAATTACAATACAGCGGTAGACGACTAACACATTTCTTTCTTCGTTTTTTCACATGATGAGCGGCACTTCTTTTCTGACTCTCCGCACTACTACTCCCCGTGATCTTCTCTTGCCCTGCTGATGACGCCAGCTATGGCAGTACAGTAGCTCGAACGATTTAGTCGGTTTGTTGCTCAGTCCTTTTTGTCTCTCTGGGACCGCTCATATCATCGCAGTTGTGTGGCTAACGCGTTTGTC